ATATATATATATATATATATATATATATATATATATATATATATATATATATATATATATAAAACTGAAGAAGTAAATATGCTGACCGTTTGATGGTACGTCCGGCTTGTTTGATATTGAATTCAACCTAAACAACCCAGTCAGTATGTAAATACACGAAGTGTTCTAGGGAGCAACCCGTGATGTCAGCGAAAGGTAATACGATCTTAATGACTAGCGCTTTCAAAGAAGTATCTATAGCATTTAGTACATTAACCTTTTGATTGACATCATCATTTTACAGAGCGGCTTGCAGATAGTTTAAACAGATTTCTTGGTCTTTTAAAGTCTCAATGATAATATAATAAAACTTTAATTTTAAAAAAAATATAGATTTATTCTTTTTTTTTTTTTTAATCTGGAAATAATCGTAGAGATTTTTTTTCTCTTCAGAAAATAGGCAAATTCACCAATTTTTAATGTATCACAGAAGATGCAAAGCAGTCCCTCCGCACGTCCCAGTTTTTAACAAACAAACAACACGCAATAAATATCAGTGAAGTTAACGAAATGACTAAAAAACTGTGCCATAAATTCTGTTAAAGATCATCGCGAAAGGCCAAGATGGCAGTGCATTACCTTTGCAAAGTTGAGATACAAGTAATTATTGAGTAAAAATTTGATCGTAAACATTTCAATCCACGCATTTACGATAACTTGTGTAGCGTAATTGTTACCACGATTTTGGTTTTATTTCGTTTAGAACAACGTCTCTATTACAATACAACAGTCCCTTTAAAAATTAACATAGAACATCGTCTCTTCTACAACAGTCCCTTTAAAAATTCACATAGAACATCGTCTCTACTACAACTGTCACTTTAAAAATTAACATAGAACATCGTCTCTACTGCAACAGTCACTTTAAAAATTAGCATAGAACATCGTCTCTACTACAACAGTCACTTTAAAAATTAACATAGAACATCGTCTCTACTGCAACAGTCACTTTAAAAATTAACATAGAACATCGTCTCTACTACAACAGTCACTTTAAAAATTAACATAGAACATCGTCTCTACTGCAACAGTCCCTTTAAAAATTAACATAGAACATTGTCTCTACTGCATCAGTCACTTTAAAAATTAACATAGCACATCGTCTCTACTACAACATTACCTTTAAAAATTAACATAGAACATTTCTCTACTACAACAAACACTTAAAAAAAAATAACTTTTAATCTTTCTTGACATAATGAAATTCCACAACTAAACTAAAGTGACGTAGCTGGCGCTCAGCTAATTTACCTTCTACGACCAGACCTCCGAGGGCCGCCTCAGCTGCTCTGCGTTGAGACTCAATACCCTAACGTCCCCGGCGTCTCGTGTGTGCTTTCTCTTGCATTTACCCCCAGCAGACCTCTGCTGCGCCGATGCGTCATTATTCATAAACGGCCTTGTATGTCGGATGTGGTCATTTCTGCTGTTTGGTAAATGGTTTTTTCCGACCGCGGAAAATTCCTCGTAATGAGCCAAAGTGGGATGATAATATGCGTTGTAGATGCCGTCACAGTGGGAAGAAGAGGTGTACGAACAGTTGATGTGATCGTGTTGCGTGTGTGCGTTAGGATCACCCCGGTTGTTCTTGTTTTGGAGTTCACGCCGGGGGGCCAGGCGACCCAGCTTGATCATCAGGTTCTTCCTGCGCACCCCCTGGGCCTGTGAGGTGATGTTGTCGTAGTGATTGGAGAAGTTGGCTGAGACGATCGCGATGGGCATGGCGAACAGAAGGATCCCCGAGATGGCACAGGCGACCCCCACGGCGTAACCGGCAGGGTGGACCGGGAAAAAGTCCCCGTAGCTGTTTCGGGAGAAGGATAATTTGAGAGCATTTCGGGCAGTGTTAGAATTTAACCATTTGATTGGACTGAAAATACACGTACTCAGCAGTAATAGTCTAATAACACAACCAATGGCGCTTACTTTACGAGACAACTTTTAACTTTCATATATATATATATATATATATATATATATATATATATATATATATATATATATATATATAAGAGAGAAAATACTAAACATAAAGTATATATATATAAAAAAATTAGATATTTTATTTATATATAT